GGGAACTCCGGTTGCCAGTGGATCTGTTATCAGGATGCCCACCTTATGAAGAGTTGCCTGAAAATGTGTCAGAGTTCATGAAAGTGCTATCGGAAAGGATGGATGATATTCACCATCAAGTGCATTCAAACTTGAAAACGTCTGCTGATTCGATGAAGTTATGTTATGATAAGAGATCTACTGAAGTCAGCTTTGTACCAGGAGACAAGGTGTGGTTGTATAATCCCAGGAAGGTCAAAGGGAAGTCTCCTAAGTTGTCTTCTCTATGGGAAGGCCCATATGACATAGTGGATCGTCTCTCAGATGTCACTTTCCGAATAAAATGTGGTCGGTGAGGCAAGCCAAAGGTGGTGCATGCCAACAGGCTTTGGCATTATCACGGTCCAGGACATTTCAGTTTGGATGAAGAGAATAATGGAACAAAAGATGCCGCTGGAGACGTGTCACCTGAAAAACCCATTGTCGAAGAAGAAATTTTACCTTGGTTTGAGAAGGGAAACAGTAAATCCCTTAAAGAAGTTACTACCACTGATGTGACTATTACTGATAATAGGATATTTCCTGATGGAGCAGATGAACTTTATGTGAAGCAGAAGCCAACGAGATGAAGACCAGTACTGAAGAAGATACGGCCCATAAAATTAAGAGACTTTGTTGATTTTAATTTTGTGTTTGTAAATCCTGTACATTTAATTAAGTTATTGTTAATTATCTATTGGTTTAAAGGGTATTTTGCTGTGTAATTTTGTTTAAAGTTTTCATATAACTAATTCTGTGAAATAATTAATGTTAAACATTTATTCATTATCATGTAACAAGTGCTTGCAGTTTATTAAAATCCCTATCTGTAGTCGATCTGTGTTGAAGGGTATTTTAATGTAACTACTGAGACTCATTGTTAAATAGTTGTGTTGTCTGTTTTTTTTACATGGATGAAAGTTGCCCACTCTTGATGTTTAATGTAGGGTCTAGGATAAGCTTGACATGATGGGGAAGGATAGAAAAGTGTGGAATATAAGTGTAATGTGTGTTCTTTACCTCCTTGTATTAATATTGGATTTTTTTAAACATTGTTATTTATGTACTTATGTGCAGTTTCCACACATCACGTTACCCATTGTTCTGTGTTATTCACCTAAAATAGAACTTTTCTACTGACGGTCAAGTGATCTCTTGAGATAATGATTTCTCTCAATTTTTATTATGAGAGACCAGCCACATGGGTGATACTAGTCGCTCTAGATAAGTCTGACATTAACTAATATTAATAATACTAACTTGCAATGGTATGATAATTAAATCTCCTAATTTAGAACTTTATGATGTTATATGAAAATATGCGATTTACCTCATTTAGAATAACAATTCAAAAACTTAAACCCCTTCTCTAAAACAGCAGCCTTCCCCTTGTTGAGCTATATTCATTCATGTGTTATTTGTGGGATTCATCCGTCTGTCACTGAGAATATGATTTCTGAACTTGCTAAAGATAATATTTCTATTCAATGTGGATTTAAATTCAGAATTCGACAGGTCCAACTTTTTGATTCATGTTTTGTCAGAAGGCTGTAATGTCATCAATCACATTCTTCTTCACGATGCATATATTTACAGACAAAAACATTGGATCGAGGCTTCTCGTACGCTTCCACTGTTGTTTATCCTACAACTGCAAGATGTTCAAATATGACACTATTCCCATCAATGTGAACTACTGCTTTTTACTCCTGTTTGGAATACTTCGGGATCATTCTATATATTTGTATAAATGTGAATGTATACCTGCACCCATATTTGTTGGTCCAACCGCTATTGCTCCTCCTGGAACAAAGGATTCTACTAGTCTTCTTATTAATTCAGTAACTAGACCTCTACTGTAGAGGATATTTTGCATTTTATTGATATTATTTTGCAAAATATCTACCAATTTCATCAAATACTCATTCTGAACAGCATGAAATTTACCACCAAAGCTGTGTATAAAATCATAAAAACTGTTAAAAAACGTTTTCTCAATATTTGTTCACTTACCACTTTTATAGTCTGCTTTATCTAGTAGATATATTGACTGTATCTTCTTGAATGAAACTTTCCTCAAGTCTACATTAATCATATAATCTGTATATATTGTATAATTAGCATGATCAATATGGAATATAAGTAACTTTCCTCATCCTACACATATGTAATCCAATACAAACCAAAACATTTAAACACCAGGCATGAAAACAGAAATATATTCTTGATCCTGAAACCAACTGGAAGTTTGGGGACTGTAAGCCCCCCAATGGAATCAAGGGGCGGAACTCCTTGTGGGAGTTCAGATGCAAATGCCCCCACAAGAAATAAAGCAATTATATTGAAGCAACCCTGAAAACAAATCACGACAGCAAGAGCCATCTTCCTCGTGCTTGGGTAAGACTGGAATCCTACCACCATTTGTATACTCCGACTAATTCAACATTGGTGTTTGTACCATTTCCTTTCAGAAAGTATGGGAGTAATGGGTCACTGTTAGTGATGAACCACCTTCATCCTCTGACAGCACATTGCATATTAAAAAAGGGAGCCTCTAACAGTTTTAGAGTTATTGCATGACCTTGGGCTTATAAATCAAGGGCAAATATAGATGTCAGAATTCATTTGTAATGAGAGCATTTTCTGTTGAAGCATCTTAACCACACTTGACATAGCCCTGTTTAACAGTGAAGTACTGTGGATATGTTGGTAATACTTTTGTCAGATGTAATGGTGCTTTTAACATATTAACCAGTTTTTCAATAATCAAAATAATAAGAATATAACACTTACAGGAAAACAATTTATTTTTTGATAATGTTAGTTGCAAGTTTGAGAGTGAAGTATGCCATAAATAACGCATGTACCATTTTATATTTTGATTTTGACAATTTTGATCTCGGATTTGTAAGATCACTTGCACATATGAATACTTGCATAAAAACATTTTATAATTTCTACAATTTTTACAATTTCTTGTTTGATAATGAAATCACAGATTTATTTTATTTTCACCAAGTTTGTCTACCATATAATACTGAATAATTAGATTTAACAGAATGTCAGATATTATTCAAATACTTAAACAGATTTATGGTATAACATGGTACATTTCAAGTGTAAGACATTCTACATATCTTAGTCAGTCAACAGATTGCTTAAGATATGCAAATTTGGTAAGTGAACACAAATCAAGTATATATTATCACATTTTCATGAATGTAACATAGCAGTTCTGTGGTTTGAAAGAATACTGTGTGTTTTTCTACCGCCTTATTTTTAACATAAAAGTTTCAAAGTTTTGTACATAAAGTATACACAGTTTTAACGTAAAATGTTGGTGAAGGAAACAATTAAGTTCCTTAAACTCCACTACCTATTGTTCTTTGTCATTCACCTGTGAAATTACGTATGCTTTCTTGTAAGTAGGATTTTTGTAAAGTTGAATTGAAAACCTATGCAAAAGTAGGAAATGATTTATTCCACTGGCAGGTCATATGATCTTGCGGATAAAACCTTTCTTATTTTTCACTGGGAATGATTAACAGTGGTGTGGGAAGCACAAGTACCCTGAGAAGAATGGTATAATTGTTTTGTGTACAAAATGCTAAATTTTGAACAGTTCTACAGTATTTCTTCAAAGAGAGCTCTCAAACTATTTTGTATGTCACCTAAAGACTGCCTCACTTGATTTTATTTGTACCCAAAAGTCAGTAAAGTATAAGTTTGCACAACATTTTCTGTCAAACTTATTATTCTGCAGAACCTATCTGATTAACCTTTGAGAAATCAGTGCACCTGTGAATAAATACCGTACCATCAGAGCTCATCTAAGATTCTTGGAAAGGACGGCAATGAAAAAATCTTGTGCATAAAAAAAACTCCCTTAATTAATCTATTAGGCAAACTTTTAATGATTTAATAAAAATGGAAAGTCAACCCAACTTTAAAATATATATTTTTATTCAAACATAGATTTCTAGAAAGACTTGCCACAATTCTGAGTGAACAAATGAGGCAATGGGATAAAAAAGAAAAACGTACTATTCCCATGGATATCCTAATGGATCATGATTCTGATCTAGTAGTACTAAAGATGATTCTCTGAGTTTCTGAAATAGTGTCCTCAATTGTTCTTTGTTGAAATCCTGTAGTAAAATCATAAAAATATTTTTTAGAAACAATAACACATTTAGGGATATATCCTAGTACTTATATCATTGGTATAATAATTATTTTTATACTTATAAACATACAAAATCTTAAATATTTTGATAATGGGAATGATCAACAGTGATTTGAGTAGCACAAATGTCCTGAGAAGAATATCATAATTGTATTGTGTACATAATGCTATGTTTTCTAAATTTAGAACAGTTCTACAGTATTTCTTCAAAGAGAGCTCTCAAACTGTTCTGCGAATTACGTAATATTGATCATTCCCATATTTAAAAAAAAAGTTCTAGGATCTCTCTCTAAAATACTAACTACAAAAATAAACATCTTAAAGATCATGCCCACAATAAATTCCATCTGTTATCTGGAAGTTTTGTGTCCTACTTCATGATCTACAAGTAAAATAGGTGGCTTTCATAACAATGTGAAAATAACACTGTGCAAAAGGTTTATACTAGACATAACTGTGTTTTAAACACAATTTTAAACCCTATATAAATATTTTCTAGTTTTACAAAAGTCACAATTAAAAACTAATTATTGTCACTAAAATACCAAAGTATCATATGGTAGTTCTAAGTGTGTTTACACTATTTCTGTAAAGCAAAAAATGATAAATCCTAACTGAGAGGCTTTTTGAGTAGGAATAAATATATAATTCAAACTCAACTATAATAGAATACTTCCCACACCTTTACTCTTTAGGAAATGTACAAGAATAATTAGTTGCACAACATGCAGATTTTATAGTTCGTAGCCCTTTCATAACACAGTAAACAAATACATGGTTATTCAGGTAACTTTATGTTTATTCTAGGTATATGAAATTTTCATATAACACATGATCAAGAAAGTCACTAAGCCAATTTTGTTCTAGCTACCTCAGTTCTTTGTCATTCCCTTCAAGAGAATATATGTTCAGCCTGTGGAAGGTATGGCTGTAAAGTTGCACCTTGTGCATAAAGGTTGACAACAATGTCCTCCAATGATAGGTCAGGTGATATTTTGAGGTTACAGCTTTCCTTATGTTTAAATGGGAATGACCCTAGTTGATCTGAGTAAGTCTGATGTTACCAATTCACTTAACAAACGTGAGATTTAGAATACAGCTTGGAACATCATCTTGAGTGAGTGAGTCAGTTTAGAAGTAGGGCTAGAGGGAAAAGAGCCAGCCTTATGAATTCAAAATTCATGTAAAAGTAACTGTCCAGTATTCAATGCAAGTATACAATTTGTTTCTATAAAAATTGTTTTCATTGTGTATCCCACTTTGTATCCAGAACATTTATTTCTTAGCATAAACTTATTTAGTTTTAGTGGAACTTAGCAGTATTATTTAACAATTTATCTTGCTTTTGAGAAATCAGTTTAGTTGAAAATAGGAAGGAGAAATTTCAATACTGTGATCACAGAATATTATTGTGGAGTTTTCTGTTAGTGTGTGTGTATTGCTATTACTATAACACTTGAGTTTAAAGAAGCAATTCTTACTTAAAGAATGACTCTTTTTGCAAGTAGAAGTACTCAAGACTGAGAGGTAGTTAGTTGCTGAAGAGAGCATTATATGAGAGAGTTGTCAAGTCTAGGAGAAGTCCTCTTATGGACATTGGACTTTCACTGATGATACAAAGATCCATGACTTCAATCTTTCGCAGGAAGGTAGCCAAAGTCTGGTGAAGCCAGAATCAATCTCAGTGCAAAGGACAACTGAGGGTCGCTAAGATGGAATAGCAACTGATGAGTCCATATGAGGTGGTCTGTACAGGACTCTCTATCACCAGTCAGAGTAAGACAACCAGAGCTCTGGTTAAAACCACCTGGAGACTAACTGTTTCCCCAGCAGGTAAGACAGAGGACAGCAACTAGTGAGAACCATGAACCAGTCAATAGTCTCTCTGAGCCAGAAGGTATTCTGCTATATCAACTGTGGGTCATGAAGAAACCTGGGGTCAAGCAGAGCTGATGAACAAACTGCTCATAGCAACTAGTATCTCTGCTGCCCTGGATCAGGGACCAACTACTCGTTTGAAGTTCAAAGTCCCTGATTATGCCTAATGTTCCACACCTGCTAATGGTGTCACAGTCAGATATTGGCTAAGAATATGCAACAGAGAGGCTTTGGTTACAATTACAGATACCCGTGAGAGAGTCAAAGCAGATTTTGCCCCCAATGTACAAAAATGTGGCAAAAGAAGACAGAATGCTTCCTGAAGCAATTCTAGCAGATACCTGCAGCTGGTCTTAGGAGCAAGCAGTTAAATGACTGAAACTTAGCTTACACAGTCCAATCCTGGACTTCATCAAGCACTTATATGAGGTGCAACTGAAAGACTAGGATACAGTTGTAGCAATGTTGCACCAAAAGTTCAGCACAGTATAAAATTGACCAAGCAAAGTTCAAGGGTCAGATAAGGTGCAACATTGAGTTTGGTCATTTATGTGGACTATATATGCTTCTGGATGGTAAAGCATAGCCTGTGGTGGCTTTTACAAACTTTACATGGATAAGTTCATTGAAGGACTTCCAGGTGAAATGATGAGGCATCACCTGCATGTGACAGATATTTTCACTCTTACAGAGGCAATTTTTGTCATGACAAGGCCCAACGTGGAAACTTCAAACCAGCTGCAAGAAAGAAAGAAAGCTGTGCTAGCAATTATCCCTCAAACTGACCATTCTACCCATACTAAGTATCTTCACCTTGCCAAATTCAAGCAATGTTGAGAGTTAACCAACCACTCAAACATCCTGGTATGGCAATCTAACCATGCTGGCATACACTGAATGGGTATGGCTATCTTGGTCCTCCCACGGAAGGGAACAGGATATTTTTGACAAAGAGGTTGTATAATATTGGGCTTAATACTGACCCCTGGGGGACTCTGGCTTCAAACATGAATGGCCTGGAGATCACATTGTTGATCTTAACTTCAGGTGTTCTGTCGGTGAAAAAATCTGGATATCCAGTATACAGTAGGGGGGGGTTCAAAGACATTTTGGACATCTAGAAAAGTAGCTATAGTTGATACTGCGATACAAGATAAATCTAATGAGGTTTTCAGTGGTTTGTCTACATTTTCTGCCTGTATTCTGTATGTTGTTAATAATATTGTTGGTTTCTAGGTAAGTGTTTAACCGGTTCATAATTAATTTCTCCATCAACTTACCAAGGGTGTTTAGCAAGCTAATGGGTCTGTAGCAGCCAGGATAAGTTATAATTTTTCTTGGGGATAACATTAAAAATAGCCAATTTCAAAATAGATGGGTAATATCCTGATAGTAACAATTGTTACCAAGTAGGTATTGATTTAGTTGGAGATGTTTTTTTCAGGATTAGATTTTTAATTCCATCCTCTCCTGGGACTTTGTGATTTTTTTCCTCAGGTTAATTTTCATTTCTACTAAAGTTATAGGGAGGGTATACAAATCGTTAGAACCAGAAATTTGTGATCTAGAAACTGAGTAGTTTGATGAATAAAAGTGTTGATTGTTAGAAATATGTTGGTTTACATTGTTGAAATGTTGGGTGTCAAACGAGGTGAGATTTGGGGTTAAAAACGTACTTTCAAAATATTGGGCAAAAAGTTCAGACTGTTTTTTATCAGTAGAAGCAGTGTTGTTGTTACTATATTGCACTTATGGTGTTGTTTGATTTGTTGTTTGTGATAGGTTTAAATTTCCGCTAGAATTTAGAAGGGTCAGGTCCGGATTTATCTACTGATTAGCAGAAGTTTTCCCTTTGGTAATGTTTCTTAATAATATTACATTCATGGCATTAATGAGTGGTTTAAGTGTAATGTCACAGTTATGGCACTGATTACATCTAAGTTGCAATAACTGATTTCGATTTGGTTGTTCACGGCTGCAATTCAGGACTCCATGGATTGTGAAATTGACACATAAAAATGTTAGCATGCTCTGCACTGAGCACCTGGGAAACATTCTAAGTAGCAAATGAAAGAGGAAATACACTCATGGAAAAAAATATTACTGCCCTATGGATGATGTAGGAGTTCTATCCATAAAACTTGGAGTCTAGTCTCACCTGGTATGGCCTTGTAATAATTGTATTAGTATGCTTGCCAGTCATTTTAGGTATAAAAATTTAACATTTGCATTATGTAAGCAGTTATTAAAAACATAAATTGCATGATAGGAAAAAAATGACTGTATAATCCAATGACTAGATCTATTATTTCTAGTATTGGTCTTTTGGTGATAAAACATTCTTATGCTTTTCAGGCATTTTTGTCTTTTCTGATACAAAATATATATGTTTTGGTTTATGTTCTAAGAAACATTTTCATTAAAATAAAATAAAAACTCCAAAATAATAGAATTTCCATAAAATTTGCACTATGGCTAAATTTCAGTTATATTAACCCTATTGCCCCGGTTATCCTTTACTGCGCATGACACAATGTTTTGGTGTCTTACATTCAAATTTTTATTAAACTATTTTTTGTTTATGTTATACCAATTAGAATAGCATAAAATATTAGCTAATAATCCATATTTTAATAGTACACAAGTTTTATGTTCTTAATTCTACAATACAATAAAAAAAAATCCTGAATTTTCATTAGCGTGATCCACGTGATACATTTTCTCTTAACATGTTATCATCCCTATTTTATCCACCACCCCTCAAAAAACTACGAAATTAAACGTAAATTACTCTCTATAAAATCATTATTGCTCAGACAAACCATACTTTTTATAGTCTTCAATTTTGTTTTGTTACAGAGCTATCAAATAGAAAAATCAGATCCCTCCTACTACACCCACCTGTCACATCCTCTCTTTCACAATTCATTGACAGTTCTCTTTTACATTTCACTATTTATTACCTATAACCAATAAAAAGTCAAGGTTTTCATCTATCAAATGACATACTGTATAATGTTATGTTCTGAGTACGAACATCGTTCCAACGTGAAAGTTAACAACTAGCTTGCATGAATTTGTAAC